CGGAGGCCTGAACAGCTTGAAACTAATAAACCTTTTAATGTCCAGAGTTGGTGGTTCAATGAGTACAGAGACACAGAGATATCACCTTTAGCTCTGCTTAGCTTTGCTCAAGACCCAATATTTCATGCTGTGCAAGAATTAGGAAGTTTTTTCACTGGAAAGAAAGATAAAATCTTCATTTCAGCATGTTGAGTTTGCCCAAGGAAATGCATCATCCTTTAAAATAGATTCTTTAGATGTTCAGCATATACACTGTAAGGATCTGGATGCTAGGACATAAAGTCAATAAAAATGTTAAGATCATTAGACTAAAAGGTTAAGATCTTTACCAACTCCTTGTTGGTAGAGATCTGCAGCAAACAAATGTTTTAGTACTACAGATTTGATGTGAGAGAGCCAGCATGGAATAGAAGTTTAAGTGTTGGACCAAGACCCCGGGAGACCGGAGTTTCAAATCCTTGCTTCGCCACAGAAATCTCACTCTCTCAGTCTCAGACGAAGGCAAAGAAGAGCATTCTCTGAACAAATTTCAGATCTGCTCCCCCCCCCCCTCCTGAACATCCGGAAGAAACTTAAATCCTGGTTATGGGAGCAAGCATTTGCAGATTAAACTGATTTTATTTGACTGCAATTTGGACTGATTTGGATGATGTTTTTAACTTGGCAAACCTTTTTAATGTATATTTATTTTTAGGTATTTGATTGTATTTTATATGTTTATATTGTGTCGGCATCAAATTGTTGCCTGTTGGTAGGCGTCCTGAGTCTCTCCTTGGAGATCAAAAACAAACAAACAAACAAACCAACAAATAAATAAATATTTTCTATGTCTGATGTGCAAAAAGGATGGTCAACATTAATGTGTGTATGTTTGTTTGTGTAAGCCTTCAAGTTGCCTGTCATATTATGGTGACCCTATCAATTTGGACAATCATACTCATCAGTTTTCCCTTTCACACATCCCATCCTTCTGGCTCACATGAACAAAGTGCCTTTTCTTTCAAGTGTCTGAAAAATAATGAGTAGAAAAGTTCCCGTTTAGTGCTTGGATTTCATCATCTTTCCTTTTTTGTAGGCTAATTATCCAAGCTGTGCTTGGTTTTCTTCCTCTAATATCACATAAAAGCACTAAGGGAGATGAAAAGAGGTAAGATGTAACCCAACAGTATATCAAATTATGAAGAAACATGTTGGCAGAGATAAAGAATGGCACATTTTTGCAAGAATAAAGGCTGATCGTTTGATGACCCATCAAATTATCACAAACAAAAGGGGAAAGTGATAATGATCTGGAAATGTGATGCCATCATTATATAGTAGTTTGATCAGGACTGGAGAGACCCAGGGTCTATTCCAGTTGAGCAAGAAGCTCTCTGGATAGTTTTGGGCTGATTTAGTATCTTTCCTCAGTGTTGCCAAGATCAAATAAAGGGAGAGAAAAATAGGTATGCAACCTTGAGCTCCTGGAAGGAAAAATAAATTATAAAATAAATCACACATATAGACATGTCCCAATCATTATGGGGTATGAAGAACAAACTTGCGACATAAGTCCTTTTCCCATACCAGTAGCAACCCCACATGTGAACTATCATATGTGGAAATAACTTTTTAGCTTTTATTTAATAAAAACATCCAGGGTAGAAGTCTTACAAATGTGCTAATTACTTTGGAACTTTTTGGTTGTTAATAGCCAAACGATCTATATTGATCTCAACAGTACTGTAAAATCCCTTGCATATCGATTCAGGCTAATACGGCTATGTCTTCAAATGAGTTATGGGATACTTGTAAGGCAGTATTTAAAGGTTTCTTCCAGTTTTCCAGACTCCTCCTCCTCCTCCTCCTCCAACAACAACAACAACAACAACAGCAGCTTTTGGGAGCCCGTGGTGGCACAGTGGGTTAAAGCACTGAGCTGCTGAACTTGCTGACCAAAAGGTTGCAGGTTCGAATTCGGGGAGCGGCATGAGCTCCTGCTGTTAGCCCCAGCTTTTGCCAACCTAGCAGTTCAAAAACATACAAATGTGAGTAGATCAATAGGTACCACCACATGACTTGGAGATGTCTACAGACAACACTGGCTCTTCAGTTTAGAAATGGAGATGAGCACCAACTCCCAAAGTCGGACACAACTGGACTTAATGTCAGGGGAAAACCTTTACCTTTACCCAATAAAAACTTTATTCTTATATCCTGCCACCATCTCCCTGAAGGGACACAGGGCAGCTTAAACATGGCACAAGGTGCCTAATAACAGAACATAAAATAAAGCACAGTATAAAATACAATTGGATAAAACATATAAGCATATAAAACAACAACTTAAGACTCAATTAAACAGTGTTCATCAACCAATGGCAGTAAGCTATTGTAAACATGACCAGGCTGTAAACAATAGGACAAGGGAATGTGGTAAGTGCAGAGCTGTAACCATGGAACGAGGACATGGGATGAAGTGCTACCCTCATATATTTTAGAACTGAAAGGAATACAGTAGGCCCTCCACTTTTTGAGAGGGTTAAGATTGCAGAACTCATAACAAAAGTGGAACAACTGTGATTTTCTTTTTTCTTTTTTAAGAAAAACACTTTTTTTAACCTGAGATAACACCTCACTAGGCATCTCTTTGTCCTCCATCCAGACTTGGATGTTGACCATGGAATCACACTGGAAGACCTAGAGATTCCTAGAAAGACCATATTAATCAAATCTTCAAATAATTAAATCCTCAAAAGTTCAATCTACAAATGTGTAGGGCCAACTGTATAAGAAAGTACTATTGTTTGCTTGGATATGTGCTCTGACTCATCCAAGCAGAAGCAACAACAGTGCTTGCTCCAACTATCTTGTGTGATGTTCTCCTTAATCCTTCCCCACCAGGTGTTCCTCACTCCTGCCTATAAACAAGTAACTGGGGCCTTTAATTTGTGATATGAATATTAATTTCAATTACAGGAAAACAAATCTCAGCCTCCCTTCTTAATTCTGAAACAGCACAAGCAAGCAAAGGGCCCAAAGCAAGAACTAGGCCAGAAGATGCAGTAAGCCAGAATGTTGTTTTCATACTGACTCCAGCAACTCTTATAAGATGGGAACTGTATAGAACTACAAGGAAATATACATATAAAAGGTAAAGGTAAATGTTTCTCCTGAGATTAAGTCTAGTTGTGTCCAACTCTGTGGGGTGGTGCTCATCTCCATTTCTAAGCCTCCAAGCCCGCATTGTCCATAGACACCTCCAAGGTCATGCCAAAGAGCTGGCATTGTCCATAGACACTTTCAGCATGACTGTATGGAGTGCTGTTACCTTTCTTCAGAAGTGGTTCCTATTGATCTACTCACATTTTGCATGATTTTGAACTGCTAGATTGGCAGAAGCTGGGCCTCAGAGTGGGAGCTCACCCTGCTTCATGGATTCGAACTGCCAACCTTTCAGTCAGCAAGTTCAGCAGCTCAATGGTTTAACCCACTGCACCATCAAGGGTCATTCAGATTCTCAAGTCACTTCTCACACACACACACACCAAACAACAACAACAACAACAAAAAACAGACAGCCTACATATACATATATATCTTTAGACACAATCTTTTTTCTCATACTAATGAAGACTGCAACCTAACTGGGATCTTGTGGATGTTCAAACTTTTCTGCACTGTGAGGCCCAGGTAAAATATACCCTGGTGAAGTAGAGTCCCTCAGCCCGCACACACACACACACACATAAGAAAAATCAAAGGCTGGTGAATGTAGTAGTCCCATTGTGTTCAACAGAGCTTTCTTCCAGGTAATAATCGCACAGGATCACACTTATACCACTCATTTTCCCACTCTTGCTTGAGATTACAAACTCATGCATGAATACACGATCAACAAAATGGTATTTGTTAAAGTTATACATAGCTATTTACATATTCATTCAGAGTAAAGCAAATGCATGTAGGATTGACAACTTTATCAAATAAAGCATTCTGTTTGCCTGGAGAGTATAAACAGCTTCTACTGCCACAACAATGTAATAAAAGGGAACACGGTTAGGTGTTGTCAGATGAATGCACAAGACATTTCCTTCTAAATTGTTTATAATCTTTCCAAGAGATTTAAAATTTAACAGAGTATGGAGCTATAAAATGCAACCCTATGGAACAATGGTGGGAAAGCCACTGAAAGCTGTGCTACATTCTATATGTACCAAAAGTGTTACAGCAGAAAATCTTAATGCGTTCTTTCCTTTTCTGCTTGTAATATCTAGAAATTTTCCAGATATTACACATTGTCATTTTCATCTCTGCTCTGTTTTACAGTCAAAAGAGGTGAAACTCATTATGATGTTCTAGCAATTACAAGCAGAAAGTGTGAAATTTCACCGTTTCCATGTCCAAACTTCCCTCAATATGCAGTGATATATTCCTGGCTAGCGATCTTTATTACCTTCCTAAGAAATTTACTATGTTTTGCATTATACCACCTTTTTCTTTCTTTCTTGGAAGTTTCACCAAGGCAAGAACATGCTTACAGAAAGAAGGAACATATGAGGGTTGAATGAAAAATAATGCCTTCACCTTCGTAACTCCTCAACAGATGGCAGTACTGGCATCCCAGAATATCAAGGCAGAAAATCCCACAATATCTGCTTTGAACTGGGTTATCTGAGTCCACACTCTGATAATGTGGGATTTTCTGCCTTGATATTCTGAGTTATAGTGCTGTGTGGAAGGGCCCTAGGAAGAACGTTCTGATGGTAAGAGCTGTACAACAGTGATATATACTGCCCCCTCAGAGTCCAGTGGGATCTCTTTCTATGGAGATTTTAAAGGAGAGGCTGGGTGGCCATCTGTTGGAAGTGCTTGGATTGTGTGTTCCTGCATGGCAGAATGGGGTTCAAATGGATGGCCCTCTCGGTCTCTTCCAACTCTATGATGGTATCTTTCCTCCAACTTTCAGAGAAAAACATAGATTGTCAGCTTTCATTAAGACAGATAGCAATACCGCTTACCTGTAGCATCAGGATGGAAAATTGCAGGAACACTAGTTATTGGTCCCTGTGGGTGGATGCAGCCAGTTGAAGACCGTTGACTTGCAATTAAAATCCTGCTTTTTGCTGATGGTAACCTGGAAACGGCACCGAGTCCTAACTGAGGCTTCAGTATCATTGCTGAGCGATAAAAGCTCGGAGGCATTTCATAGTGAGCATACGGTGGAGGACAAAATTCTTCTTTAATGGGCCTTTCTCCAACCTATGTAAATTTAAATATAAGAGTTAGAAAAAGTGAGTTTGAAGATTATTTATGCTTATTTTGTTTACTTATTTATAGGCATTTAGGCTTCAACAAGTTACAAGCGGTTTGACATATGTTATCTGTTCTTTTTCTCATATATGTTGTTGAAAAAAATATTTGATGATTTTGTTGTTTGTGCTAGGTAACAGGATTGGTCTAATTCACAGTATATCTGAGTATCAGTTAGGGTTGTCAAAGAGAAAGTTGGGAGAGGAATCCTGGATCCTGTAATAGTTTCGCAAGAGTTTGTCTGGTCAAGCAACCAGATTACAAGCAGCACCTGCCAAAATTCCCTCTTCTAGACAACCCTTAAAGGAACAGAATACCTTTCCAGTTTTTGCTCTGGGTACCCAAGTAGTGCTGTAAATTCTTTTTGGTTTTGAACTCAAATGTGACTTTTTCAGCCACTTTATGAGAGCATAAGATCTTATTCTGCGATCAAAAGTCAAAGGCTTCTCCAAATATAATGGTTTTAACCTGCTAGTGGAAACTGGAAGTGGGAGCACTAACCAAGCCTCCCATTAAATAATTTCTAAATATTCTTTATATTTTTGCAAACCTCAAGTTTTCCTTAAGCTCACAGATGCATTCCTCATGTGCATGGTGTAGTGCCATTTTGACTACACAAGCACTTGGTTATCAAAAAGGTGTGCAATGATATATCTATCACTGCATAGTTGTTGCATTTTAGTGTATTTGATTGTATTTGTTAGATCAAAGAATATGTTTTTTTTAATACCATGGAGGTGACCTTGTGTGAGTAATAAACTCTCAACCCCAGAAAACCCTGTGATAGCTTTGCCTTAGGATCACTATAAGTCAGAAACGACTTGAAGACACACAACAATAATTTGATGCTAAATTACAGAATTTATTGTGTCACTGCATTTGAAGTAATTTATAGAAATTTAGACAATACAACTTAATAAAAGATTTGAACTCCTTGATCCTTATGGCTACAAAGTTCCAAGATTGGTTTTGTGCTTTTCTGGTTGAAAATCATCTGATGGAGTTTTGTTTGGTTTGGTTTTTAATTGTTCTTCTGGTAACACATTTTTCTTCCAAATGTGTTACAGAAAGAAAAAGTAGCATTCTCTGCAGAGCTGGGGAAAGGCAGACACAGTGGGAACAGCAGATCACATAATTAAATGAATGGGCCAATGGTGCAAAATATATCCTTGTGTAGTTTTGGACCATGCCCAGAGAAATAAAAAATTGCACTTCCCCATATCTGAGACACTTCTATCTTCTCTCCATAGCAGTGAATTATTACTGCGTCAATGCTGCCATGTTAGTACCATATGGAGACAGCAAGAGAGAGCTGAAAGAACATGCTGCTTTGACTTTCATATAATCCCACCAAATGTTTACAATCTGGAGGCATCCTGCAGACAGCTGCTGGAAGACAGGAGAACCTGCTTATTTTGTTGCATGCCACCTTTTCCACCTTTGTGAAAAGGCAAGACAAGCGTTTCAGAGAAACAACAGGCAAAAGAAAGCAAAACTTGCCATTTAGATTGATATATATGAAGACAGCAATGACCTCCTTGTAAATATTCAGTTTAAGGTTTACTAATGTACAATTTATCACCAAAAGACTACTATGAAAAAGGGCCCAGTTGATTCTGAATTCTATTTTAAGTGTAAATTAGCATTCAGTCATTACCTCGTGTGTCAATGTTGAGATGTTGTCGGCTTTTTAACAACTTGGAAGACAGAGCCAATTTTGTTTTAAAAATTAATCACAACTGTCGCCAGGAGCTAAACACAAAAACTACCTAGGCTGCTTAATTAACTTTGCTGCTAAATTACAGAACGTATTGTGTTGTGTCACTGCATTTAAAGCAATTTATATAAATTTAGACAATACAACTTAATAGCAGATCTGAACTCCTTGATCCTTATGGCTACCAAGTTCCAATACTCGGTTTGTGCTTTTCTGGTTGAAAATCATCTGATGGGGTTTTGTTCTGTTTTTAATTGTTCTTCCTGTAATCTCACTATAAAATATGCAAGACAGCATATGGAGCATTGCATCAAGATTTTACATCTGTGTTATCTTTGCTCTATGCTTAGATCTTTCACTAATTAATTTCAGCTTTTAAAATTTTAATTATATGCAACTAAAATTAACTTTCTAAATTAGGAATGTAACAATCTGGCAGCCTTGTTTTCTGTGTTTCTCCAAATCCCACTGCTCTTGCCATACCATTCCACCTCTATATCAGATATCAACTCCTCTCCCCACAAACACACTTTCTATATGGAAATGAGTTTTTACAAAATGTAAATATTATTGCATACATTTTTTTCATTTAAAAAGTATGTCTGTACACATTTCACAGATGCATATTGTAGTTGTACACACTTCTTCCATGTGTGTACACTTCCTCCCGAGCCTTACAAATGTGCATAGTTTCAAGGAAAATGTGGTCTATCCTATGCTTGTCTTGAGAGCTACAAAATGGATAAGTTTTGCATAGAAATGCAAGAAATCTCTCTTTTTCCATCCTTATTAGACACTATCTGAAATGTTCATATGCTACTATCACAACACATTTCAAAATATTACTTAATCAGAGCTCTTTTTTCCTTAAAGGTTTAGAAGAAGTTATACACTTAATTATTATTTCTTTCAGTGCTTAGAAAAGATATCTTGGGGTGTTACTACTTCAAGAATCCCACAGCTAACGAGTCACCAGTACTCCAAATTATTCTACTGCTCAAGGACATGGCTCAAACGCACACAAAATATTTATGATTAAGAATTCTTCACCCTTGTTTCACTAGCTGATCTATGTAGATATTTATGGCTGTACAGTACATTGCAATCAAGGATTTTTCAGAATTATTTACCTAAAAGAAACAGATTTACAATATACAAAAACCTGTATATGTTAGAGGCATTCTACTTTCCAGCATCAATATACACCCCTTATCCTCTATCCCATGACCCTGAAATGCTGCATTTTATCAAAACACGTGTTATCCAAACTTTATGAGCTATCCACTCCTTCCTTTCACTCACTGAGAAACAAAGAGTGCATACAAAATTCATGCAGATATGTACTAGCAGTCAGCTACTACAGATGGCTGCTGCCCAGCTTTTGTTAAATATGTTTCCATATCAGCATCTAACACCTTTGCTGAAAACCCTATTGGCTACTATATAGGGGAGTAATTCTTCACTAAGTTTTTCTCAAAGGTAACAACAAATAATTTCAGCAATCTTTTTTCCATTGCATGAGACTCTTTGAAAATCTCACAGTTTTTGAAGGTTATTTGCAATTTGGGAGATATTCTGTGCAAAATTTGTCTTTGTTTGCAACCAGTATATTGTACACAAATAACAGCATTTCCTTGTGGAAAATATTTCAATGCCAACATTTTTTCCAATGCAATGAATCATGTGTGAATTCTACACAAAATAAATCTTCAACTATATAAATTTCTACACAGGAATGAATGTTTCTTCCTCAGAATATTATTTCCACACAAAAAGTGCTGTTTTCGGTGCAAAGGAACCACATACAAAATTTTGCACAGAATCACTAATGAAGTGCAAAGCTTCTTGTTACCCCAATATTTGTCTCATTAGTGTTTCTCAACACATGGTTTTGTTTTTGTTTACAATTTTTCAAATAACTTTGTACTTAATACCAAAAACATGAATAACAGGTTTTGGTAGTAGAGTACAATGCACTAAAGAATGTAGAACCAAGATAACTGAAAATATTATTTCTGGGTTGTTGTAGGTTTTTTCAGGCTATATGGCCATGTTCTAGAGGCATTCTCTCCTGACATTTCACCTGCATCTATGGTAAGCATCCTCAGAGGTAGGGAGGTCAAATATAATATTTTTTCTGCTCAATCATCTTCCTGAATTACTGAGGTCTTCTGAAAAGGCACTGCTGATAGTTTCTCAAGTTCTACTGAAATCCACCTGGAGTCCAAAAATACTATGGCTATTAATGTATCGACTCTTGCTGGACTATGCTTCCAGCTGAGAGTAGGTGAGTATTGACATACTTGGAGTTTACTAGCAGAAACCTATCCTACTAGACAAGCATTTCTTGACTGATAAATTCCAGTCATAGATGTTTCAATGTCTTTGTTTTCACTGTAACTTTTCATCGATTCGTTTTGATCTATTTTACAGCATTCAAAGATTTTCAATATGGAGTAATTTGTACATTCTATTGAATAAAAAATGTTACATCTTCAATACAGAGCAGTTCATAAATTCTGTTAAATAATAATTTGTCTTTGCTGTAACACCCTATCGCTGGCACTAAAGTAAGTGATACAACATCTTGTAAATTCTATATACCAAACATAGTAAAATACATCAGAGTGACATATCAACTTCATTAAACAAAGATCTTACCTCCTGGAGAAACTTGTCATTCATCTGACCAAAATGATGGCTTGAAGCTTTAATGCCAGATACCACAAGTCCTGGACTGTAAATCCGAGGCTTCTGCAAATCAGGTTTAAACTTGTCATATATGACATTGCCAGTTTTAATGTCTCCATCATTTGAACATTTTTGCTCCATGGTTGCTACTGGCATGGTGCAAGTAGGAGGAGCATAGGGTAACCCAGCTGGAACAAATGTATGGTCAAGCTGGCTTATTGCCTGGGGGTTCCTTCGAATATAAGTTATTATTTTCGGTCTCACATGCTTGGGCTTGGGGATCTCTGGTTTTGCCTCAATCTGCTCTTCAGCCTTCTCAATAGAATAGCTCTCTCCGTCTTCCTTAGCTGGATGGGAACTCTTGGAATGTATAAGGATAGGCTTAGGGATGCCACTGTTAGAAGTAGTCATGTCAGGCACTTTGGGGGATAGGCTTAACAACTCTGTATCATCAAGGGAAGATAGGACTGCAGCAGATGGTAGTTTGCCAACGTGAAGCGCACAGAGGTCCTTCAGACTGCCATTTGAAACTGTAGTGTGATGGTTAACATTTACATTCACCACAGGCCGTATAGGAGTAGGGGCACACAGAAAGGTGCCATTTGTTTCTGATATTTTGTAGCCCTCTGACATGCCATTTGAAACATGTCTCTTGGCAGTTATTCCTGTGCTTTTGCTTTCCATCCTGGTCTCTAACTCAATGTCCTGAGTGGGAGAATGGCCATCTAATCTATCTTCTTCACTAAATTCTTTTGGGTGCTTTGGCTCAGATGTGAGCACTGCAGCATTTTCATTGTGTGCTTTGATAAGCATCTGCTTACCTTCATTATTGCTCAGACATTTGCTGTCTGGTATGCTTATGCTATGCATCATAGATGGATGCCCACCAGTTGTTTGATTACAACTTGCATCAGCATCATGTAGGTTTGTGTTTCTTGTAGATGTCAATGTGTCACTGAGTTTGTCATCATCAACACCAGACAATCCAGAATCTGATTCTTTTCCCACTATACATTCCTCACTTCCTCGGTTCATTGCCGTGCTGTCACTATGACTGCTTCCCCTCCTTAAACCTATTGAGTTATTGCTTCTTACCAGTTTGTCACTGGCATGGTAAAGCCCTTTGTTTAAGTGTGGATCATCTCCTTTGCCACCAGAGTCTTGTAACCAAAGTGGTTTTGCTTTGTGTTCTTCAGTCCCATAATCCTTTTTATTCTGCACTACCACATTTGTTCCCTCTGTCTGACATCTGAGAAATTCAGTCAGCATAATCCTGTCAATTTTTTGCTGACATACGCTCTTAGACTGTGGGCTCCTCAAGTCTGCTTTCCCTCTCTTTTCACCCTGGTGATCTAATTGTGCTTTTGATTTCCAAATTTCATTGGATTTAACTGTTAATTGTAGGTCAACATGAGCAGGACGAGAAGAGCTCTGTTTGTTGAAATTCGATACATCGTCCTTACTTGGTTGTGTTGCTCGGACATTTGATGTGTTGTGTATTCCTGAGGTAGGTGAAGGTTTCGAATAACGCATTATGTTTCCCTCTGAGACACTATCAGTTGGACGAAACACCATGCCTAAAAAGTGGTCTGCTGACGTTTTCCGAGATTTCTCAGTCTCCCCAGCCAAATGATGTGAAGTGTCAATAGAGTCCAAGGATGCAGAAAGCAAGCGTTTTCCTGATACCCGACCAACGAATTCTTTCCCCAAAACTTCGGTTTTTGCCATAAGTTTTCTTGATCTCCCCAAAGAAAGCCGTTTTATTCCTTCTGGCTCAATCCTTCTAGGTGATTTGTCCTCTGAAACATGTTGAATGAGATCAGCATCACTTTTAGAAAGAACTACTGAAAAGGTATCATTTGTATTAATCCTCAGATTGGACAAACTATGTCCTCGGCTAATAGGGACTAGCTTTGAAGTGTCCTTAACCCCATCAGTCCTATAATCTCTATACAATTCCCTGCTGGTGGGAGAAGGCAGCCTGGACTCTAGGTGGACAGTTGTACCTTGAAGCCTGTTCTTCTCCAAATCTAATTTTGTGATATTTTCTGGCTCTCCTTTGTTCGAACATCTTGTCTCTCCCAACAAATCATTTGTCCTTAGTTCTCCTCTAGAGCTTCTGACTTCAGAAGTGATTTGGTTGGCATTTGTGTCCCCCACGGTCACCATGCGTTCATTGTTATTTTTAATCTCATTCCTGTTGGCCTGCAACAAATTGTAACATGAGTTGTTGGGAACCAGTGGGGTACTCATTTTTAAGTTCCACTTCTCCTATAGCTCTGCTGAAAGACAAATCTTCTCTAACTGTATTAGCCACTAAGCATGCTTCTCTAAGGGGATTCAAACTGATCTGGCAGGAAACATTTCTTTGCAAACCACTTGAGCCTCTTGTCAGTTACATCCTTCTGATGAGTCAGTCATTATTTGGGCAGAGAAAGAAGCCACGAAATCTCCAGAGTAAGAAGCCCAGAAGGAGAGATGGGATTTAATAAATGCAAAATATGTCCATTAGAGTTCCACTGAAGGACAGATAGTCCATCGAGTCTGCAAGGGAAGAAACAGAGGATAATGTCAGTTTAAATCACATAAAATTGCATTCAGAGTGACATAGCCAAACTGACATGGAGTCAGAGATCCATGCAGAGAACTATTATTTTCAACAGACCTAAAGCATAATGCACCATCCCACCAACAAACACCTGGATTTTTTTTCTTTAGCCTTAGAAAACAATGGGATGTTAAGCGGGCAGCTAATCATGATGGATCCACCCACAACAGTACTGGCTAACAACATATGCTGTAAGACTGCTCTGAGTCGCCTTTGGGCTGAAATGGGCGGGATAGAAATAATGTAAATAAAAATAAATAAACAAATAAATAAATAAGATAACAAGAGCCCAATTCAAACCTCACCTCAATCATAAACACTTCAGACATCAAGCATGAATTGTCAAGAATGGGCAACCAACAGCTTTTGTTAAACAATTGTTTCCATTTTGTGAAAAACAGTCAAATTTACTGGTGCATAGCACAAAAAGACCTGGGCTACCTGTTTGAAATCTAGCTGGATTAATTCAGTTTTTAAGAACTCTCATCTCCAAATTCTGCATATATATGATGGACATTAAAACAGTTACAGCCACTGTGACAATGGACTGGTTAAACTGTAAACTAATGTTTGAATTTGTGCTTGAATTGGGAAGTTCTCCTCCTGATATTATACATATTTCTGGAAATCATAGATGTGCTGTTTGAAAGTGTACATACAGAGAATGTGAGCATAATGTGATGAATTTCAACAGACCTGTTTCTCTGACATTCAGCCTATTTTAGAACCATACAAAAGCCTAGTTCCTGGGTCCGTCACTCTCAAGTTGGCATGTTTTGAAGTATAGCATGAGACACAATGAAAATGCATGGAGAATCCAGTTGACATTTCTGAGACCCATTCACACTGCAGAATTATGGCACAATTATTCCACTTTAAGTGCCATGGCCGAATCCTATGGAATCCAGGGCTTTGTAGCACTTTGTCTTACAACTCTTCATGCCTCTCCCTCAACTGCCAGCCCTGTATTCCATAGAACTGAACCATGATAGTTAAAGTGGAATAACAGCAATAACATTCTGTAGTGTGAATGGGCCCCATGTGGTTTTGTTTTGGAGATACATTAACCTTCCGTTACTTGAGATACCAGATTTGGCCATAGTGCACATGCCTTAGTTACATTCCATTTGGATTACTGTAATGTGGGACTGCCTTTGAAGAGTGCTTTGAAACTGGCTGGTCCAAAGAGCCAGTAACTGGGACTGACTACAGAAAAGCACAATTCCTCTATTGCAACCAGTCCATTGGCTGCCATTTTGTTTCTGGGCACAATTCAAATTGTAGTTTATGCCTCTAAAGCCCTATATGAATCAGATCCAGGCAATTTGGCAGATTGTAGATCCTGGTACAAAACTGTCTGGTCCCTGAGATCCTCAGGAGAGGTCCTTCTCTCAGTTCCACTGCCATCACAAGCTCGGTAGGTGGGAACAAGAGAGTGGGCTTCTTGGTGGCTGCCCCTCGCCTCTGGAACTCCTTGCCTAGAAATGCCAGAATAGCCCTATCCCTGTAGTTTTTCTAGCAATCATCTAACCATTTCATTCAATAAGGTATCTAAAGATGAATGTCCTTAAGAGAAAGCAAGGGGTGTTGTGTAGTATTTTATGATTTTTATATAGGTGTGGTTTCCATGGCTTTAAGTATTTTTAATAGTCTTGGTTTAATTCTATATTAGTGTTTATATCAGGTATGGGTAAACCCAGACCTGGGGATCATAGAATCATAGAGTTGGAAGAGACCTCATGGGCCATCCAGCCCAACCCCCTGCCAAGAAGCAGGAATATTGCATTCAAAGCACCCCTGACAGATGGCCATCCAGCCTCTGTTTAAAAGCTTCCAAAGAAGGAGTCTTCACCACACTCTGGGGCAGAGAGTTCCACTGTTGAACGGCTCTCACAGTCAGGAAGTTCTTCCAAATGTTCAGATGGAAAGAGATTCTTGGGCTCTTTTCTCAGGCCCTCTTCTCTTGCACCATCCTATCCTTCCTTTCTTCTCTCTTTCCTTTCTCCTTCCCTCCCTTTCTTTCTTACTTCCCCCTTTCCCCTTCCTTCCCTTTTGTCTTTCCTTCCTTCTTTCTTTCCTCCCTCCCTCTCTCTCTCCCCCATTCCCTTCCATCCTTCCTCCCATCCTTCTCATCCTCCCTCCCTCCCTTTTCTTTTTTCTTTTTCCTTCCTCCTTTCCTCCTGGGGGGTGTTTAACTGGGAGAAGAAAAGGTAGAGAGGAAACATGAGAAACATGTTTCAAGATTTAAAAGGGTGTCCCATTGAGACGGAGGGAGCTGTAGAGACCAGGGCACAGGGGAGCAAAGGGTTCAAATAGCAGGGAAAGGGATTCAGCTGAAAAGATTCAGAACTTCCTGTTTTCATCAGAAAGATAAATGTTAGAATGCCTTTTCAAATGCCAAGATAGCAGAAAGCAAAGTGGAGGAGCCCTTCTAATAATATACATGTCAATATATATTTTAGTCATGGGAGGTACATAAATGCCTTTTACCAGTCTTAGCTTGTATAACAACTGGGATGGACAGAGCTTGGGAAAGTCCCGTCCTGGACTATATCTCTCAGAATTAAAAGAAAAACATGATCTAAAACCTAGTCCTTGCACATTACAGTGTTCCCTAACCAGAGATATAGTGCTCTTTTTCACTGCCCTCTATAACAGACTGCCACCAATTATCACAAACAATGGAGGGAGGGGAGGAAGAATCTGCAACAGGAACACCACACACAAAATGGAAGACAAAGGACAAATGACAAGATCTGGCCCAAGTCAAGGCCGTGAGGGAATCAGTGCAAATATACCCTCACTCACACAAGGCCAGTCAGTGGGAGGCTACCACTCTATTTTTATATTTTGCCTTTGATGCCTCTTGTTATTTATTTATTAATATATCTTTTGCTTCCACCAATTTATTATTTCATTAGGCCACTTCCTTCACTGGAATGTTTAAAGAGCCACAGAAAGACTTCAGATGGAATAAAACAGGAATATGTTGTTTATTTTGAACAGTCAATATGCATAATGGTTTCAGATAACTTGTCAGGCTTTACTTCTAACAGAGGATGGTACTTTTGTCTTGAGCTTCTTAATAACAAAGTTCCACAACACAAATCCAAACGGGATCTTTTAAGCCTTTGAAATCTCCCTTCCTCCCACAGCACTCAATCTCCCTTCCTCCCACAGCACAGAGGCCTGTTAACTATTGTCTTCAAAGAGGAATCCTTCCTTCTCCCTTCCAAGCTTCTGTCTTCTTCCCCACCAAACTCCTAACTGTCTTAAAATGGCTGCCTTGCTCTTTCTCTTTGCCTCTGGCACTGCCCATCTCCAGTTACTGAATTTTCCCCTCCAATTTCATTAGCCACCAGACTGCACTTCTATGAGGCTGCCTGTCTGCTCCACCCACCTTTTTTCTTAGCTTTTACAAGCTGGGCCTGACCTGATTTCTACCTTTTTACACCAACTGTTTAAGGTAGGCCAATCTGTTATACCCTCTATTCCCTAACTTGTGATCTGACTCCAGCACTTTATCCATCAGCCCTGTCCTACCTTGTAAATGATTTGCACCAGTCCACCTGCCCGAGCTCAGAAACTGTTTACAACTCAGGCCATTGGTAGTTTGCATAATGGTTGTTTTATATTGTATTATGTGTGGTTTGTTTTATACTGTTTATGGAGTTGCTTTTATGAATTTTGTTGTGCTATATTTTAACCATGTTGAGTGGGCTTGTCCCCATGTAAGCAGCCTGAGTCCCTTTGAGGAGATTTTTTTTTGTCATGTCAGGAGCAATCGCTCCTGTTGTGAGAGAATTGGCCATCTGCAAAGACATTGCCCAGGGGACGCCTGGATGATTTTTGATGTTTTATAATCCTTGTGGGAGGCTTCTCTCATGTCCCCGCATGAGGAACTGGAGCTAATAGAGGAAGCTCATCTGCCTCTCCCTGGATTCGAACCTGCGCCCTGTTGGTCTTCAGTCCTGCCGGCACAGTGCTTTAACCCACTGCACCACCAGGGGCTCCTCCTTTGAGGAGATGAAGTCAGGGTACAAAAATAAAGTTTTTATATTATATTCTTCCGGTTTAAAGCTGTTTTCTTCATCTCTCCCCAATATTAGGACACAGTACAGTACAGATTCAAATCATACAAGAACATCAGCAAACACTAGTGAAGTTAAACAACATTTACTGTTAATTAATGTAAATTAATTTAACTGGAGAATATACATTATTTTGACAAAACAACACAGCCATTCAATTAGGCTGCACCTAAGGTTTTTTTTAAAAAAAAACTCAGGGAATTCTGCTGCAGGATTTGGAATTTCCCCTGTTTTGGGCAATGGAGAAACCAATCACGGATCCATATGTGCGATCCCAGGTTATGTTCCCACATTGATTGTGCACTCCGCAGGCTCAGGCAGCCTGTCCAATTCTTGAAGTAAGGTAAGACTTTCTGCAGAAGTTGCCAGACAGCCAAAGACAGAAGTCTTCTTTCCCTAAACCCAAAGCTCTGGTAAGTGGCAATTTTCTTTCTTTTGGGGGAGAATTTGGGGTGTTGGTGGGGAAGATTCCTACCTCTTTTCCAGCTATGCTGCCCTACTTTGGAAGTAATTGCCAGCATGCCCATGTGGCCATAATGTAGCCCCAAACCAGTATGTTTCTTACCAGTTGGATCTGTATTATGTTCCTGTGGAGAACTGCCTCTGTTAAATCATTGCCAGAGATCCCTTTGCAGACTGAGGCCTCTTCAAGACAGGCCCTTTATCTCAGGATCTGATCCCAGGTTTTCTGTTTATCCCAGGTTACCTGGCAGTGCAGACTCATATAATCCAGTTTAAAGCAGAAAATCTGGGATCTGTCCTGGGATAAAGGAGCTGTCTTGAAGGGCTGTCAGTAATTACTATTGAAAAGGCCTTTCTTCTGGTATACCAGTTGTAGAATGCCT